CTTCCCTAACACTGGATGTTCAAGGCAGCTCTCAGGGAAGTCACTAATACTTCCTAAATTCACCAGGGAAGCCAGAGGTCTTAGCATGGTTGTGCTTGCAGCTATCTGACAAATTTGTTCCATTTCTGTCTGTGGTTTCTCTCTTGTGCTCGTATCTCTTGGCTAGCATGTGCTTCCCAGGGACCATAGTTTTATTACTTTCAAACCTTGGATCATCTGAAGAAGAAAGTGTTTTTTCATAACAAGCAGCAAAAGTTGCACGTATTTAATGAATGTGGAACTGTGTCCTGTAGGCTGCTGCTTAGCTGGTGGAATAATGCTTCCTCTGAATCCCTGTAAGATTTCAAGCTAGTAACTTAGCACATTTATTTCCTTTTCATAAATCCTGTGCTTCATGTACCCAGGGGCTCCTTCAGTAGCATCAATCATCAATATACTCATTTTCCCTCAGTGTTACACCACTTGAACCTATTTATTCTGTTATAGTTTAAATTCTTCTTGGTCTTATCAGCTGACCCTTATATACTACTTTGCCTGCCTCCTACAGAAGACTTCTTTATTATCTTTGTTTTATTCAAAGCACTGAACAAAGTCCTCTTTAATTGCTGCCATCTGATCTTTGTCCTGGAGAAACAGAAGTTGTTTCTCAAAATAAATTATCTCTGAAGCCTTATCCAGCTATCAAATATTACTATTGACTATCTTATCAGACCGTGTAATGATGCTAATTCTACGTGCTTCATTAACTATTTAAAGATTAACACTAAGTCTAGTCTAGTTTATAAGAGAAAAAAGGCAAGAGTGAAATGTATGATCTCATTCCTCTGGGTTCAATACTTTTAGCAATCTGAAAGAGTGAATTCTTGGTATAGAAAGGTTAATGCTGTACCCCCTTTCTATCAATTGTCTGTTTATCAAATCTGTGCTTATCTCATGTCTGCTTTATCAGATCTGCTTGAGTAAGGTACATAATTGAAGCCTCTTCCAAATTTAATTTCCTGTTCTCGGAAGTCCTGCAACTATTAAAAAAAATCCTTTTACAAAGTCTATTTTAGAAAAGGAACACATGCTGAGTTCAGGTATTAATAACTTGGCAACTATGCCCTTGAATACAAAATACTCCTCATCTTCAAATTGATCAGTAACATAAAACAGAGCATTTTAAGATAATATGCCCATTCCTCGTTTCTTTTCTTCAGTTAAAGGAAATATGTTGGTACAAATTTCCTTTAAAATTGGCTGTTGGCCCTTCCTAACTAAACTTGGTGAAATAAAATAACTGAGTTCTGTACATAGACTTTTGCCATTCAAAGATCTTGCTTGTGAAGGGAGAGCTATTGGTAGCTATCTAGATCATCAAAAAACATGTTTCGTGGTTCTCTGCACAAACCTTAGTGTGTCAAAAAGCTGCTATTGTACAGCTTGGGTCAAAATTGCCTAGATGCTGCTCAATGAGCTTCCACTAGTTTCCAATGGTTTTGAGTTCCCTCCTTTCACCTGTTTCCATCTATTGGGGGGGGGGGCAGCAAACCCCCCTCACTCCCCAAATACCTACTTCGTTGAATCTTAAATTCTCATGTTCTACTTGTGAATACTTTGCACTGCAAGATGAGTGTATTCTTCCTGTTATGGCACAACATACCTGCTCATAGCTATCTGAATAGCAGAAGGAAGAGGATTTATGAAAGACTATTAGCTGTGCCCCTTCGAAGTTCTCACGTACCTTTCACTGCTTCCAGTCTGTTCTAGCAATTATTCCTAAACTTCTTCATTAAAAACAAACCAAGAATTCCTATGTTTTTCTTTAAAACGTTAATGCCATTATTGCTGCTTTGTTCTTGATGCTAAAAAGTTCTTCCATTTATTTTCTGATTTATACTTATTGTGCAAGTACCTTCTGCAATGTTTTTTCACCCTTTTCTTCTCATATATTTCACTTGATTCTTCCCCCACCAACACGCTTATTGAAAGTTTCTGTTCTGAAGTTTGCTTTTGTGTGTCTGAAATTTGACTGTGGCAAGTGACTAGTATATTTTCTGCTTGTTTCACATCTCACTGATTCTTACGAAGTTTGGAAACTGAAGGAAAACTTCAGTGTGAGGCTCCATTTGTTGTTCTGTCTTCCTGAGCGCTACCGTAATTTTCTCTCCTGTCTCTCTGGGTACATGAAGAATAGGAAACTCCTGGAAAAAAAAAAATGCAGCTGTAGGCACTGAATGTGAGTTCTAGGTGCTTGCAGGCTTTCTTCATAATTAAATGCTTAAGCTGGTAATGATGAAATTAAAAATAGACTAGCAGGTCTGTTAGGAAGCCTGAGCAGAGAGAATGCAGAGATCTTGTGTTTACCAAATACATTGCTGAAGCTTTGCATCACGGACTGGCTTCCACCTTCAGCATTTCCAGGCAACTCTATTTCTAACAGTGTTTCTCTGAATCCCATTTTCTGTATCACCTGATCAATGTTCTCTCTCTCCAGCAAAGAAGTGTGTGTCCCTGTATCTTTGGCTCCTGATAATTGTCTTGCATGGCAATTTGATCTTCCAAGTTTCCTTATCACTAAAAGCAAGGATTTTGAATCATGTCTCAGGGCCCTAAGCCTGCAGGCCAGTTCCTTGTAGCCAGCATTGGTATATGGTTGACTTTTCTTCAGCCTTATCACGATGTATTTGGTGTCAAAAACCTTCCCACCCATTACACTCTTAATCATACAAAAAAGTTTAATTTTTAAATTAAAGGGTTTAATTTTTAAACTTTTTAAGGTGATAGAGGAAAGAAAACCAAAGGATATGCCTTTCTCTACTTAAGGCAAGAGATTGAATTACTACAGGTAATCACTGTATCTCCTCAGAGCTTGGCTTACTATATCATCTCAGTGTACCTCCCCACTGATCTCCCATAGTGGGCTTTTAATAAGGCAGCTACATGCAGAGCAGAAGGGGTGGCAACTGCCCTAGTGTCTCTTCTAAGCTGCCCCAGTGCTTGTCCTGTCACTGATATCAAGGGCAGACTCAGAGAGTGGGTGCACCTATGGAAAAGATACTGCTTTCCCTTAACTTGTATGTTTTCTTAGACAAACTATTGGAAGGCATTGAAAACTAGCAGCGCTCAACTTCCATGCTGCATCATTAGCTTGTATTTCTCTAACACCCGGTTTTCTTAGTGGTAGATGTGAGCTCCTTGGAGGTCTACCCTACATCCTTGGCCAGGAAGGGCAACCCTTAGCGTTAGTCCCATCATATTTGGGCTGGAAAAGGCAGCTCTGTATGGCTATTGAGGCACCAAGACATTTGAATTACAGTTCACAATCACTGGAGAAAATAGGCTCCAAGGTATCTGATGTTTCCCTTTGGCCTGTCAGGACCCACTATGCTGTTATTTGTTGTTGTAATGGATCCTACCAAGCTTGTCCTGTAGCTCATCAGCCCTGACCTTGGCACTCTCCAGTAGCATAATTGTGGTTGAGATGAAAATAAGTGCAATGTTCCCATTGCATCAGTTAAGAATGTTTTTACAAGGAGTTTCTAACGCTGTAAAAGTGTTTTTGAAATGACGTAACTTCTGCTTAAACCTCAGTTTCTCTTGCAGGCTCTGAATATGGGGCTCTAAATGTTTTATATTAACTGTTAAAGACACTCTTAGAGATTCAAAGACACTCTTAGAGATTCTCTTACAGAAATTGTCTTTTTCTGCACAACAGCTAATCCAAGCCAGTAGTTCATTTAAAAACAAAGGGGTATGTGCTCTGATAATATATGCTTTATAATAACAAATTGAGGAAGGAAATTTAGTAGAATTAATTGTACCATTCACTCATGGATTAAAAAGAAAATGATCAGTTTTGGTATACAACAAAGCTAATGCCGCCTTTTCGCTAGAGGTTCTATAAGCTTTAAATATGCAGCAGCTTTAAGCATACTGTGCCTTTTTCATGTTAGACACATCCTCTTTACACTCCTTTGAGCAGTTTGGATGTTTGTGGCAACTCTCAAAACTGACAACTCTTGTGCTGCAGAAGACTCAAAGGGTTCAGATGAAAAATTTATTTTAACTTTTGATCCCCATCCCTCCTTGACAGAAAAAGTGAACTTTTAGCCATTACCGAACCTGGAGAAGATAGTTTAGATATTAATAGAAATAACAGGAATGAGAGAACCTTGGTATATGCCCTGGCTTGTGAGAAACAGGTTCTGCCTTTCAGTGACATAAACCCATTTTTTTAATGGCTATAATTGTGTTACTGCTGACTTATTGAATCCTCTGTTTTGAGAAAATTGCACCACCCTGTTTGAATGGCTTGATAGTTAAAACTCCACCTAAGCCAAAGGAGATGAGTGTAGGAATTTTGAGGGAGGAATACTTTTAAAATTCCATCCCTAGTTTATTAGTAAGGAATTCCTAGTGCTGGAATTATCTGGAAGACCATCTCTGAAACTGTAGTCTTTGTTCACTATCTTATCATTGTTCTTTCTGGGCCTCAAGATTTCTTGGGGTTCTTTGTTGGTTTGGTTTTGGGTTTGGGTTTTTTTTGGCTTAACTGAGGTACCAGACATTAAATATGTGCAACATATCTGGAAGAATAGACAGAAAACTGGTATCAACACAAATAAAAATGTGTATAAAAGATTTATTGTAAACAAAACATTTCTGTGCAAACAGTGAAGAAAAAAGACTTCTGTTTTTTTAAAAACGCCACATGACTTTGTAAAATGTAAACCCCACCAAACCTACTCTGTTGGTACTCTATGCAGTAACAGTCCACAAATAGTCCACTCAAGCCACTTACGTAATTGGCTTTGATTTTTCTTGCACAGCGGAGCTCAAATCTGTCAGGTTTAATGTTGGCTCTTAAACAAGACCTATTCTTAATATCTCTGATATAGGAAGGCAAAGAATGACCCAACAAAATGGAAACAGAGCCACAGCAACATGGAGCCTGCCTCTGTCAGCTTCTCAGGCCCTCAGTGTGTGATCCGCAGCCAGCACTTGTTGGGTGAACCTCCTCAGCATGGGCCCCTACCAGCCATGGAAACTGCCCTCTCTTCTTTACCCAGGCTGTAAAAATCAGGCACAGAATGTTCCTCCAGCTGGTCAAATTCATTAAGGCGGAAGTGAGTTGCCAATTTGTTTACCATTCGTTTCAGAGTGACAAAGGCTGCAATGACTTGGAAAGTGAGGAAGAAGGCAAAGACAATATGGACCGCTCGCTCCAGTGGCTGAATTTTCAGACCTTCATTAAATAGCAAGAAGAGAATTATAGGCAACTGCAGGAGGAGACTCAGGAGCCAAAACCCAGCCAGCTCAGGGACCTATAACAGGGAGATATCACCTATTAACTGGCAGTTGGAGATGAAAAAATACAAAACTTTGTGGAGAAAACCACATTTTTTTTAATCTTCCAAAAGCCACACATCATGTAACATGCCAAAAGTGAGGTAATGTTTCCATATACTGTGTTTTTAACTGTACTTATTTTTTCTGACAGAACAGTTTGGGGAGCGAGAGGGCTCTCTTCTGAGGGAAGACTTCTTGGAATGCACAAAAGTGGAAGATGATGCCAAGGGAATAGACGATTCAGACTGTAACTTAGAGAAATAACTTAAATCTCTTAGATGAACTGGTAGACTATTTTATTTATGTTCAACTTCAAAAAGCTCTCCTGCACAAATTAATATGTACATGCAATAACATACCTTCTCCTGCAGATTGCCCATGTATCCCAGATAGAGTCGAATGACCTCTATTAGAGAGGTTAGGATCATGATTGTGACCAGGATGAACTTGTAGTAATCTGACAAGACGGAATACTAGAGGGAAGAAGAGAGTAAAAGTTTCTGCTGTACTGCTTCATAACATGCTGTTTGTGATTAAATGAAGACACGGTATGCTACTGTAAGTTGACAGCGTTTTATTGGCTTTCAAATACTCTTGAACCTCCAGTTTCAAGAAATTTCCAAATAAACCTAATAGAGCTCACTGGAGTTAGAGGTTATCTCAGTATTAGGAGGTGTTTGATCAGAAACATATTACATTTGCAAACCATCACTTTCCTTCAGGACTCACCTTCAGATGGAGCGTGACAACTGTGCTGAGCCACCAAAATGGGAAAAAATAAACGTTGAAATAAAGGGACATCTGCAGTGGTAAACTGGAAACTATTTCGTTATCTGTAGATAGAGAGAAATCTTCATAACTCCTAGTTTGTTCCATACTTGCCTTCCATAAATATGACAGAAAGATACTGCTCCATCTTAACTTCAAGCAGGGCATTAACACTCTTCCCAGTCAAATTAAACATTTAGAAATATTTTTACATATCCAGAGGAAAATCTCTACCCTATCCTGAGTTACACCATTTCCTGGAATTAATGCAACTTTCAGTTCACAGAATACAGAATTTCTATCACTTAGCCATATATTTGAGTGTCTGATTTTGATTACCTGGTTGTGGCTTAAGCTTATGGCTTACTCCACAATCTGACTGAGAGACTTAGCTCAAGTAGTGCTGTATACTGATATTGCAGAAAGTGTTATTTCATTGCTGTTCCTAAGAGAATGGCCAAAGTCTAGATGAGTGCATACTGCATTATCGATGATCCTCCTGAGTAAGGACCTACTGCTAGAGAGGATTGCATTGCCCACTCTTCATTTTCAATCTTTATTTAAACAGACATTTGGATGGAAGCGATGGTGCAAGAAGCCAGTCATTCTAGTTCTTAAGAGCTAAGAATTTCAAATATGTGTCAAACTAAAACTTATCCTTTAAAGTCTGGAGAGAACAAAATGTGTTCATACTATGTAGAGAAAGGCAAATATCAAACTCTAACATGCAGGCTGTAAATTCTATATTTAGGATTTAATAATAGCTTTTACAAGATTAGACTTAAACCAAGGAGAAACTTAGAAGGGTATTCTAAGGGAATCATTCATTTTTAATGGGTGAAGTTTTATCAACATAGTCTAGTTAAGTGATATTGCATCCATTTTACTGCAATTACCAACAGTCTCCTTTCTCATGTTTTCCCCAACTGAAGTTTGTAGTTACATCTTTACTTGGTACTACCTGAGCAAGTTTAGAAAGTATTCATTGGGACCTGCTGATACGTATTCAAGTCCTGTGCCCCTGTCTGTTACCATGGTGATATTCAATTGAAAATTAGTCTAGTCACATTGTCTCACTTCCAGCCTCAGAATCACCTCTCCTGACATTGCCTTCTCTTTCCATATCTTCCAACCATTCTCATACCTGTCTCTGTTTTGTTCCCAGCCCAGCCACATGCAGCCTGGTACAGTCAGTTCCAGAAGTCTTTATGCCAGTTGCAGAAGTACTCATGGTAGCTACTAGACTAGGTGGGAAGGGAGGCGGATTTGGGAACAAAACTGGGACAGACCTTAAGGGTAGGGTGTGAGGGGCAGGGATTTGTTATACTGAAATAGAAGGTGCAAGACAACCAATACATATTTTTTAATAATCCTGTTTTTAAGCATCAACACTTTCTTAGATCTGCAAAGGAATGAAAATCTGTAGGTATCTCAAAAACAGTTTTGCTATCTACCTGAAATTGTCCCAGCTGTCCTAATGAATGAAACTCTTAAACACCAGGAGGACTTCAGAGAGCACCAAGATACAATTCTAAAATACTGTCTTATCTTTCAAAAAAACCATGACCATGCAATTACAAGTAACTATGTTTCTGCCCTATATGTGTTGAATGAAAACTTAATGGTTCATAGCCATTATTACTTAAAAACAGAGAAGCCAACAGGTCTAATTTCCATTGTGATGATGAGAACGTTTTGTGTATGTTAAAGGTTTCATTGACATAGCACTGGTACTTGTAACTTCTGCTCAAGTTTTAAAACTGTTTTGGATGAATATTTAGCAATATAAGCCAATTCTAAGTCATCTTTCTATCTCTAAATTGAAGTAATGCTTATTTTCTGGGATTGCTAACATTCATGGAAATGCCAGACAGTATTGCGATGGCCAATTCTTTGATGCTGAGGCAACCCACTAAGATACATATTGTGTAAACTTAGTTTTTTAAATTCTGATCTCCAACAAGTTAATGGTACATTCAGAATTGGTTTCAATGGCTTGGATTTTCACATAGGAGTTTTCATGATGGGAAACAGAAATTACTAAAAATAGAAGCTATTCCTGGAGTTAAGAAAATATTTCAGTGTTGTTTGATAAATGAAATGAGGAATTAGTGTTAGCAGTGTAACTACACTGGCATAACTACACAAAGAAAATGAGAACTCCTATCTTGAAATATGAATGACTTTTTGATTAATTTTATCAGCTTGGAATGGATTTACAAGTTTAAATTCACATTTTAACTTCTATGAATATAACCTTTCTATGTAGACAGACTGTGTTTATTTTCATGGCTAGTGTCACTTCAAAGGTATGAAAAGAGGGCATGTTAGCCTGCAGGTTTCACTGGCAATATGATGAAGGAACAGTTATCAGTCCTTATGATAGACTTGGAAGAAGTATGAGAAAGCTGGCATATAGCCAATTTTGAGTTTTTGCTGCCTAATTCTAGCTGGGTACACCTCTTCATGCTTTAAGCATCTCGTGCCCTAACTGTGCAGGACTAGTGAGCTTAAAACAATAGCCCAGTTTTTATTTGTTCTGTGTTCTCCATAAATGATTTATATTTTTTATTTTGGCACAGGCAGAGCAAGTAACAACGAATTTTATCTGCAATATTTTATGCACTAAGGTGTAAAGGCAGCTACAGAGTGTTCTCCGTACCTGCTTTTAAATCGGACTGTTCGCCGTTTAGTATTTTAAGTGCAAAGGCATGTCTTTGCAGCATGTGACGTGTAGGGCGACAGAGCAGCAGCAGCCTGAACGACAGCGAAACCAGACCTCACCTAAAAGGCATCTCTGCTTTTCAGCGCCGGGCTGGCACCCCTGTCGCCTGGGCTACTCTGAGGCCTTCTCCCGGGCTCTTCCCCTTAAGCTGGGGGAGAGCGACGGGGCTCTGGGGCCGGCACCTCGGCCTTCCTGCCCGAGGACGGCGCAGGGGGGCACGGCTCTGCCTGACGGAACGGAGAGCCGG